AGTGTCCGACGCGGGGACATTTGAAGTAGAGGTCAAGACAGAAGGGCTTTGACTGGCAATCAGACCTCTGCTAGAATCTGCTTCCAACGAACTATGCGAGAAAGTGTTGGCAGCCTTCAGCCCCCACTCCATCAGTTTAGATATAAGGAACTCCTGCCTCTCCACGCCTTCCGAGGTCGACGCGAACACTGCTGGACTGAAGGGGCCCGTGACATGAGGAAGGTCAGGAGGCAGCTGTGTATTGAAGTCGCCCCCGATGACGACGTGCTTGCAACCAATGCTGAAACTCCATGAACGTAAGTTGTCGATCTCGCCAACCGCATCCTGAAACTGTTCAAACGTTTTGTTCCAAGAATCTGGCAGGTAGCAGCTCACTATGCCCACGTCCCCGAACTGGACTGCGATGGCATGTAAGCAACTCCTAGTAGCTCCCGAATTCGAAGACAAGGTAGACGGCCAAGCAATAGCCGTCGAGTGCCCAGGCTCGTGTCTTACAACCCACCCCGCAGCCGTGGGGTCCCGAGACCAGGACCCAACTTCCTGTAAGAGAACCACACAGCTGGTACCATATTGAGAAGCGATCCACTCAAGCAAATCCCCGACCGAGTGCACGCTGATACGACTGACGTTCCAAGACACGATCTGTAAATTCTTGCACCGTGAAACATGTAACTGACCAAAGCTTGCGCCTGCACCGTGTCACGCAGACAGGGTGCGGAAGGCAACCTCCACCGACGGGCCCCCGGGGAAAGCCGTAGGCCAATGGTCAGGGAAGATCTTCCACCCACCCGTAATCGTGTACTGCGCGATCCTCACCGGCCTCTCGGCCTGCGCGACGTACCTCACGACGAGAGAGCCCGTCCTGACGCCGTACTGGAGGTTGAACAGCTCCTTCTGCTTGTTCTGGCTTTCCAGGAACCCGTAGAACTTGCCCGCCTGGATCGTGAGGGGCTTCGCCTCAGGAGACGGAGTGACGGTGCACTTCGCCTCGCGCCCGTTGATGGTGAAGGAGGGGAGCACCTTGGAGATCTCCTTCTGCGTCTTCCACATATCGCTACGAGACCCGCCAGCAGCCATCACCACCAGCAGCTTGGTGTGCAGCAGCCTCTGGTCCACCTTGTCGTAGGTACCCTGGGTGTTGATGAGACTCTGGACCTCGGCGGGTATCGCCGAGAAGATGCGCTGCAAAAACGCCTTCGCGTCCACCTGGGTCAGGCTCGTGGTGTCGGGGTCCTCCCAGTCGGCCACCCAGTTCTTCAGCTCCAGCGTGCTGGGCCTGTTCTCCAATCCATTCGAGTAGGGGTTACCATCATCGCGTGCGGCGGGGGCGAAGGTGGAGCCGTTGGATGACCCACCTCCCATTGCCATACGCTTGACCTCCTCGATCTTCGCATCGAACCTCTTCTCCATCTCCTCGCACTTCGAGTCCATACGCTTCATGATTTTACCCTCCATCTCATCGAATTTGGTGGTGAGCCTTTCCACCGTGCGATCAGCTGCACGATCGGCTGCCCGGCCGAGAAGAGCCTCCAGATCAGAATGGTTCATAGGTTCAGGAGCTTCTGTGCGTGAAACCTTTGACGGCCTCTCGGTGTCACTCATACAATAAGCGGAACTGTGCTAGTCCCAAAATGTGTGCCGCTTGAGCCAAAATGGCCGAGGAGGAGGAGGAGGAGGGGGGGAGGAGGATCGAGGAGGATATGAGGATGAGGAGGAGGAGGAGGATGAGAAGGAGGAGGAGGAGGAGGAGGAGGACGAGGAGGAGGAGGATGAGAAGGAGGAGGAGGAGGAGGAGGAGGAGGAGGAGGAGGAGGAGGAGGAGGAGGAGGAGGAAGATGATGGGGGAAGGACGGGGAATGCGGGGACGGGGTGCGGGATGCTGGCGACGTTGAGGATGATGAGTTCGTGCTCCTGCCGCTACTCATCCTTGTCCCAACCCACGCGGCCATCCTACTTATTGTGTTTTGCGGCCCCCCCCCGCGAACAATTATTTCCATCATGGTGCTCTCGCCTGGGCGCCGCATGCACTCGTCTTTAACGTTTACAACCACAACACCGATGAAAGTCATTTCCCTTTCCAACCGATAAGCTCCAGATCGCGCGAGTTGCTTACAGTGCTCTCGCGATCAGCGTCTGCCACGTACTAGTATCATGATTCGTGTATGTTCATGCTCTGGCGGTTTTATTCTTGGCGGTTATTTTTAATTGCCAGCGGATTGGCGGTTATAACAACCGCCCTGGAACCTTAGGGGGGTGAGGAAGAGGAGAAGGAGGAGGACGAGGGCGAGGACGAGGAGGAGAAGGAGGAGGAGACGGGAGGAAGGAAGGAGCAGGAGGAGGAAGAGGATCGATCGATCGAGCTGTCGGGCCGATGTCGAGGGTGACGCCTACTCTAAGCCAGAACGGAGTGGCGGTTGTAAATCTAGCTCGGCCTAGCTGCGTTCACTTAGTGGGAGGTCGCTCGCGCAACGCGGCGCTCTGGTCCTGCCTGCACCGGCTCTCCCCGCGCAGGGGCACGCGGGCAGGGCGGTACCCGCTCCTCGCAGATGCCTGCTGGTCAGCTGCTTCCCACTCTGTGTCGGCATCCTCCTCGTCGCTCTCAGTGTTGCTCCGTTCCTCTTCTGAATTGGCGTGTCCCTGCAGGAGGGTGCCGTGCACTATGTCCACCCCCACAAATTGACTCGTGCCAACCATCTCGAAAACGCCGTAGCTGGTCCACGCGGTGACGGCCTCCTGGATCCACTCATGGAGCCTGGAGTACAACCACGAGGCCATGACCACGTAGCCCTCCTCGAGACGCCGCTCCACGACGTCGGCAACTAGGTCGATGAAAGAGGGCGGCATCTCGTGTGCCGCGTTATCTCCGCGCCCCCGCGTGCCCAGCGTCGAGTCCTGGTCGTTGTAGCTATCCTGCTCCGCGTGCTCCGCGTGGTCCTGTGTGCGCAGCGTCTCGCCCTGGCCCGCGTAGCTCCGTTTTAGCTCGTGCATCGCGTCGTCCTTGTTGCGCAGCGCCCCGTCCAGCTTTGCCACTCTGCTACTCCTCGTGCGTCGCGGCGTCCTTGGTGCTCAGCGCCTCCTCCTGGTCCGCGGAGCTCTGCTGCTGCTCTAGGGTCGCGGTGTCCTTGGTGTCCTGCGTCTCGTCCAGGTCGGTCTCGTGCTGCTGCTCGTTCGTCTCGGATTTCCCGTCGTCCAGCGGTGCGCCCTGGTTGCCCAACGCCTCTCCCTGGTCTTCGAAGCCGTGCTGCTCCTCGTGCGTCGCGGTGTCCTCTGTGCCCAACGTCTCGTCCTGGTCCGAATAGCTCTGCTTTGTCTCGTGCGTCGCGTCGTCCGTGGTGCCCTGCGCGCCCGTCTCTAGAAAGCTCATCTGCTCATGGTGCGCCGCGGTGTCCTCTGTGCCCAGCGTGTCGTCCTGGTCCGTGTAGCTCTGCTTCCTCTCGTGCGTCGCGTCGCCCGTGGTGCCCTGCGCGTCCGTTTCTAGAAAGTTCTGCCGCCAAATGTCCTTCGCGACGTCCTTGGTGCTCAGCGCCTTCTCCTGGTCTTCGAAGCTCTGCTGCTCCTGGTGCGTCGCGGTGGTTTTGGTGCTCATCGTCGCGTTCTTGCCCATGAAGCTCGGCTGCTCGGCTGCTTCTCGGGCGCCACGTGCTCGCGGTGATGGTACAGCTCGTACTCCTTCTCCGCCTCGTACGCCACGAAGGTGAGGAAGTCCAGCTGTGTCTGCCTAGCGTAGTGCAGGAGTAGTCGTCGTCTAGCGCGTTGCTGTGAGCGCGAAGTCCACTTCGTTGCATGGCGCCTCAACGGTCCGGCGGGAGCACTGTGCACGGTGATCGGATTGACATTCAAAGCGGGAGGAGCTGCGAGAGAGGCTGTCCACGCTCTTGCCTTGCCCATGCGGGCCGTCACCTCCATGATTCCATCACCACGGACTGTGAGATGACTGTACGGGGTTCGATTGCTGCCCTGACATGCCTTAGGCCCAGATGGTAGCTGTAGGAGGAGGAGGAGCAACAGCAGCAGCAGCAGGAGGACCAGTGTAAACCCAAGAGTCATCAACGATGTTGGAATAAACCCTCCCTCCAAGCTCCCTCGACACAGGCTTCTACAACGATACATTTCCATTGAGGGAACTGCCTCGTGGGAAGACAGCCGCTTGAATATCCTTAAGCATGCCAAAACATGGTTCTCGGGATTCCAACGCCACGGACAAACCTGATTGTTGCGTTTTGACGATGCTGCATCGTACCAGAACGCACTTCCTGAGACTCCAACGCTGGAAATCAAAAGAACTGTTGCGCCCGCGTAAGCCTGAATCCATCCGAAACACCATTTCTGGTACGCTGATCACTGGAATCCGTGAAACTCTTGCAACATGTATAAACGAATGTGCGCGGCGCTACACCAAGATCCACATGTTGAAAACGACCCGCCCTCAATCCGTGAGGCTCTGGCAAATGTTATAGACGAATGTGCGCCGCGCTGAGACGGGATCCACCATTTGAAAACGACCCGCCCTCAACCCGTGAAACTCTTAGACATGTTGAAAGCGAATGTGCGCGGCGCTGAGGCGAGAGCCACATTTTGAAAACGACCCGCCCTCCATCTGTGAAACTGTTGCCAAATTTTAAGCTGCAGAATCATACATCGCGAGAAAGTCTCAAGCGAAACGCCCGGTCCGCCCTAACAACTGGCGTCGGGGTGCGACAGGGAAACATTGTTCATAAGGAAAAGGAATGGAGGATGAGGAGGAGGGGGAGGAGGAAGAGGAGGGACAGGCCCAGACATCCTGCGTCACGACTTTCTTGATCGAGACATGGGCGCCACCGACCTCTCGAACCCTACCCCGGGACCGGTCAATCCATCCCGAACACTTGTTTTGACGGTTCCGAGGCCCGGGAATGCCCCCCAGAGGCCGAAACCGAAGACCAAAACTCCGTCTCGATCTTTGCCTCGAGGCGCCCGCTGTCTGGGCGGAGCGGGGGCCAGGCCCGCCCACGGGGGCCCGCGGTGCGGCCTGGACGACCGGGGCCTCCCCGCCGCAGGCGGCCGCGAGCGCGCGCTCCAGCAGGGCCTGCCGCGACGGCCGCGCGGCCTCCTGCGCGGGCTGCTGCCTGCGGGCGGCGCGCCCTCCCTCCCTCCCGACGACGACGACAGCGACGACGACGACGAGGACGACGAGGACGACGAGGACGACGACGACAACGACGACGACGACGACGACGACGACGACGACGGCGACGACGACGGCGACGACGAGGACGACGACGACGAGGACGACGGCGACGACGGCGACGACGACGACGCCCACCCCCCGCCGGCGGCAGGGGCGGACCTCGGCGGGCGCCCGGCGGGCGAGAAGTGCTGCGAGGCCGCGGCTCGAAGGGGGGGGGGGCTTGCGGAGTGCCCGGAGCCCCTCGATAGCCAGGGCAGAAGCACGAGGGGCGGCGTTGCCTGAGCATTTGTTCTTGGGGCGGAGGGCTCGGGGTGAAATCCATCTGGGCTTTTCTGCACCTCGAGAAGTCATCCGTCCTGTGACTCGCCTTTTGCAGATTCAAGCCTCGAAGATCCATCGAAACGGCATTTCAGTTTTCACCCTCTGCCCTGCACCCACAGAAAATGCTCGGGATTCTCTCGGCTGCACGCAAGAGTGACCCTAGGCAAGAGCGACTTTTGGTGCGCGACTAAACGGGGGAGGCAGGGTAGCAAAACCTGGACGCGTAAGTCGCTGCTACCGCTTCGCATTCAGCGATCGGGAGACCCCGTTGGGCGCGCACCAAAAGGTCACTCTGGCGAAAGGTCACTCTTAAGCCTAGTCGACTCTCTTTGTTCGGCCTCTGGGGGCCCTTGCCGGGCCTCGGGGCCGTCAAAGCATAAATAACTCGGGATGAAAAACCAGAGTGTGTGTGTGTGTTTGGGAATGGGTCGAGACCTCTGGTAGTCGACGTGATGGAGAAGAATCGTGACGTCTAGGCCGCTGATTTGCACGACAAGCACTGCCGGCATCGAACCGGGAAACCGGATCGGATCGGAACGCGTATCGAGTCGGGCCGCCTCGGCTCGGAATCGGAATCGAGTCGACTCGGCGGCGCCAGGATGCACAGCAGCGCCGTGCAGGCATCGGGCCTCGTTGGATCGCCCGAAAGCCGGAATCAGGTCGGATGGGGCCAGTCAGAGCCGATATCGAATCGGCTTCGGCCTCCGGGACCTCTCGCCCGGCCCGTGGACAGTCACAAAACAACTCAGGATGAGAGGCCGGTGCTGGGGAGTGGGTCGGGTCTGGGAGGCCCGTATATTGAACACATCGAGACATCCGATGGGGGCATCGAGCTTCGAGGTTCGAGGTCTCAGATTTTCGGACGCTTTCCAGCCTCGGGTCGCCTCACAGCGGCTGCACCTCGCCGAGAGCTCGTCCGGGGGGTTCCTGGATCGCCCCGATCGGCCGAGGGAGGCCCGAGTCCTGACCGCCAGGGGACGGGCTCACGGAGGAAGGCATTGCTCTGACCTGGAGTCGGAGGTACGTCGCCGACAGGTCGGCGATCGGCCCCCGTTGGCGAAACCGCACGTCCCCTGAGATCCGACGTAGCGAAACGAGTGCAACATCGCAAACAAGAGCACGCCCGGATCCCTGGGCCCCACCTTCTCCGCGTCACCCAGTGAACCGAATCGATCGAGATCTGCGAGGGTCCCCGGGCCAAGAAAAAAAAACAACAAAAAAAACGGAAGCGACCATCTCGAAAAAGGTTCGGCGCAGGGATCTCTGGGCGGGCTGCCGGGCCCCTGCGGTCAGGAAGCTTTTGGGAGGGCGTGCCGCGGCCGTGGCCGCGCTGGCGACGCGCCGTGTGCCCTGCCAGCGGATGGCGTGTCGCTGCGCTCCGGCGGGGCGGAAGGGCCAGGCGAAGCTCGGAGCGTTGACGCTTTTGGGGGCCCGTCAACAAAAAGGAAGTCATACACCTTGGGGGGCGCAGGACACCGAATCCCCATTCGCGCGAGCCCACCAGATTCGGCCGCGTCTGAGGCCGGATGGAACTGAGCTCCGTGCTCTGCAACTGGGGTTCAGGAAGTGGCATCGCGTCGCGCCGAAGCGCGGTGGGCCAGAGCTTCGGAGCGACACGCGGAGCCAAAATGACTGACCGTGTCGGCTATCGGGCCCCTACCTCGGGGGCGGGCGAGGGGGGGAAGTGAGAAGGGGCGGGCCTTCGCAGAAGGCTCAGAAGTCCCCTGGCCTTCTGAGGAGTTTTGTGAGCCTGCCCCGAAGGCACAGACAGCCTCTCGGAAGGCTGGAGGTCTTCCGAGAAGTCCCGCCGCCTTCTGAGGAGGCCTTCTCCTTCTCATTGTTCCCCGGGGCTGGTATGATAGAAACGGGTATACAGAAGGAATGGGGGTCCAGGCCTCCGACGAGATGCTTTGTCTCGAGCTCCAGGGCCACCAAAACCTGAAAGTGTCCTCGAATCCCCCAAGTCTCCTCCAAGAGTGCGGATGACCAGGGCTTGGAGCAGATCTCTGGGCATAGCGGAGAAATCCGCGAGGGACGTCTCCTGGCCACAAAGAGGCCTGCCTCCTCTGGGGGCAATCGTTCTCAGCCCCCAAGCGCCGACCCGCCTGCTGGGGGCAAGAAGGCGTGTAAGTTGATTGGCCTTACGTCTACAGGCAAGGCCCGCGCCTTCTAAGAAGCAGCTTCCTCCTAAGAAGCCTTACCCCCTCCCCCTGCCCACCTCTGCGCGTGGCCGAAGAACTCTTGCAACACCCGATCCGTCCTCGCCCTCCTCCTCCAGCGCCGCCGCTCCCTGGGTACCCCCTCCTCCCCCCTTCCACCTCCCCCAGGGTCAAACATCGGTTTAGCGCGGGGGGGGAGGGGGCTGGGGTGGCGGGGCGATGGGGGGGGGTCTGCGGGCTCCTCGGCGCACCCCCGGAGACTCCACAGCTTCCAAGTCTGTCTTCCGTGGCCTCAGGGACGTTCCAAAACGGTCCTGGATCGCGGGGCGATTGGCCCGAGACGCCCACGATGGATCCAAGACGCCCCAAGACGAATCGAGTCACACAAGAGAGCCTTCCCAAGAGGGCCCCGGAAGGTCAGAATCATTGGTTTCCCGTTGATTGTTCAGTGTTTCTGAGGGTGTCGTCTTCTCGAGCTTCCGTCACTCCAAGATGGCCCAAGAGGCTCAGTAGACCGCCCCCAATCTGGCCAAGATGCCCCTACGAGGAGCCCAGGACAGCCCAGGAGGGTTCCAAGACGGTCCAAAGAGGGGCCCTTGACGGCGAAAGATCGCCCAAAGAGGGCACCAAGCGAGGCGAAGAGAGAAAACACGAACCGAAAATCTGATCTTCCTGTCCCAAGGAGCCCCCCAAAGGCCCCAAGAAGCCCCCAAGCGGCCCAAAAGAGGCCCCCGATAAGTTCCCAGAGGCCCAAAAGAGGCCCCAAGGCGGCCCACAACACGCTTCAACACTGCCTACAAGAGGCTCTGTCAGGCCACCAAACAGCTCCCAAAACGCCCACTGCAGAATCCCCACACCGTGCCCGAGAAGCCCACGACGCCTCAGCCGTGGACACCACGCCTCTTCTGGGGGTCGGCGGAATGGCGTAAGCCTCTTGAAATAAAACCGACCCGCTCGACGATAAAGCGGTCCCAGAGCTAGGAATGAGAAATCCACTGGTCACGTCTTGTTGGAAACGCACGTCGTCGGAGGTAGGTGAGGGAGGTACGTAAGGGAACCGCGCAAACGGTGACGTCAGGCTCGGGTTTGGCGTGGCGCGGCCTGAACGCCAGACCCCACCCGCAGCACAGACTGGGCAAATGCCTGATCGGGACGTGTCGGCACTCCTGCTGCTGCTGCTGAGGCAGGGCGGTTGGTGTGGGGGGCAAGGGAGGAGAGGCAGGAGTGGGCGGGGTGAGAGAAGTGGGGGGGGGATGGGAATCCCCGCTGCCGTTGCCAGCCGCTCGACGCGGCGGCGTCGCCCAAGTAGGCCAACCGCAGCATGGCGTAGTGATGGGGCACGGCTCCCGCAGCTCGCGCCGCGCCCTCCTCTCGCCACAGCTGGCCGCCGTCTGCCAGGACCTTCGGCCCCGAACCGGAGGCCCTCGACCTCCTCCTCCTCCTCCTCCTCCTCCTCCTCCTCCTCCACTCCCTCCTCCTCCTCCTCCTCCTCCTCCTCCTTTTCGGCATGCTGTCGGCCTCCTCCTCCTCCTCCTCCTCCTCCTCCTCCTCCTCCTGTTGGTCCTCCTCCTCCTCCTTCTCCTCCTCCTCCTCCTCCTCTACCTCGCCGCCGGGAAAGGAAGGCGACCTCCACCGTGGGCGCGTGGCCGCGGCAACCGCCTTCCGGCGCGGGCACAGCGCAGATGCTGGTGGCGAAGATGCTGAGGCCGTCGCGCGGGCCGCCGCCAGTCTTCCCGGGGCGCCCCACGACGCAGACCGGCGAGCCCCGCGCCAGGCCCGAGCGCACCTGCGGGGGAAGGCGGAAGCAGGCGCGGCTGCAGCCTCGGACGATCGGGGACTGCGGATCGGCCCATTCCTTTTCGCCGCCGCTCCAGGGCCTCCCACCTCCGTGGAGTGTGCGGTGCGGTGGCCAGGTGCCGAGTGGGCATGCGGAGGGCCACTGCGCCCGCCCACAAGAGGGCCGAATGCTGGAGAGAAGTGCGGCCACACACGGGTCCGTCCAGGTCCCGCCCACGCATGCCACGGCATGCCTGTCCAGCTTCGTGGGCAAGACGTGCTCTGGGCAAGCTGGGGCCACTCTTTGATCGGGGTCTGGCTCTCCAGTCGCGCCCCTGCAGCCCAGTCGAATCCGCCTCCGTCGTCTATGCAGAGCAGCGCTCATTACGCAGAGCGCGGCAAGCGAACACTCGCACACTTAGGGCAGTGAACACGAGGCCCACGACCCAGACAGAACGCGGACACGTCGGTGCCGATGCCTCTCATCGCTCCTCTAGGAGGTCAGGCTCAGATCGCGGACCACCCTCAGGAGCCGACGACGGCCCGCATGCAACATGACCGAGATCGGCGTCGGAAGGATCAGGCGACGTCTTTGGGAAACCAAAAGGTACCGATCCCGCTGCCCCCCCAGACCTCTCTCGGGGCGCGTTCTGACCAGGATTTCGAGGCGAATCCAGCGCTGGCGACGATGGCCACCCAGGAGGCCCAAAAAGGGCAAAACGGGCGGGGGGGGCGGGTACCTTTTCCTCCTCTGACGTCTGGGTCATGGCCACCGTGCCTCCGCTCCTCGGCGCGCTCACTCGCGAGGCCAGCCCGGCCGTGCCCGGAGGCAATTCCCCAGGCATGGCACCACGGCGAGCTCCCGCAGCCTCGCGACGCCGCAGTCCTCGGCCCGCAGGCACACCTCCCGGGGGGGGGGAGGCGGAGAAGGAGGAGGAGGAGGAGGAGGAGGAGGAGGAGGAGAGGAGAGGAGGAGCGGAGGAGGAGGAGGAGAAGGAGGGGGGAGGAGAAGAGGAGGAGGAGGGGAGGAAGGAGGAGGAGAGGAGGAGGAGGAGGAGGAGTGAGGAGGAGAGGAGGAGGATGAGAGGAGGAGGCAGGAGGAGGAGGAGGAGGAGGGGGAAGGAGGAGGAGGAAGGAGGAGGAGGAGGAAGAGGAATCTTGGTCGGGTTTTGCGCCCCTGGTGGAATTTTGATTGCAATGAGCACGCGTTATCTGGGCCCCAGCCGGGCCGGGGAGCGGCAGGAAGCCGCGAGAGGCGTCTGCAGTTTGGTCGGACATGGCCACCTACAGGCGGGTTTCGGGAGAAGAATGAACCAGAGTCAAACAAGATCAAACATTACCCCAGTGCGACCCTACCTAGAAGTTGGAGCCCCTAGGAAAGCAGCATTAGTTGCTATGCTATGCTATGCTATGCTATGCTATGCTATGCCATGTTATGCTGCGCTATGGTATGCTATGATATGCTATGATATGATATGATATACTATAATATGATATGCTATATTATGTTATGCTATGATATGCTGCGCTATGATATGATATGATATGATAAGATATGGTATGTCAGGCTGTGCTGTGCTATGCTAAACTATGTTATGATATGATATGATAAGCTGCGCTATGCTATCATATGTTATGTGATGATATGCTATGCTATGCTATACTATGCTGCGCTACGCTCTGATATGCTATGCTATGCTATGCTGCGCTGTGCTATGCAGTGATGTGCGATGCTATGTTACGCTATGCTATGCTGCGCGGTGCTATGCTGTGGTGTGCTGTGCTGCGCTATGCTATGATATGCTATGTTATGCTGCGCTATGCTATGCTATGCTGGGTGTTGCTATGATATGCTGTGCTGCGTTATACTATGCTACGCTCTGTTATGCTATGCTGTGCTCTGCTATGCTAAAGCTCGGCGAAGTTAAGATGAATATTAAGCTAAGATAAACCTGAGCTAAGATTAAGCTGAGCTAAGCTAATATGACATAAGCTAAGCTAAGATGAGATAAGCAACGCTAAGCTAAGGGGACGCAACTGGGGGAACCGCGGGGCGGATCCTTGGGGAACCGCCCGGGGCGGGCAACACTGCCCGGCCCCTTTAAGAAAGAGGGTAAGAACCCTTCTAGGCAGAGCCTAGGTAGGGAACAATCAAAATATCATCAAACAGTCCTCAGCAGACGATTTGTTATCTTAAGTTCGCCGGCGCAACGAGCCAGAGGCGTGCTAAGATCTCTGGTAACTGCGAACAGTATTTCTACGTCGCGCGCGCGCGGAGCGGCCCCTGCGGGTCCCCGGACGAAAAGTACCGTACCCTGGGCGGTCCCCGGCCGGTTCGCGTCAGAGATCCCCAGCCTGGTCGGGTTGGGTGGGCGCCGCCCTCGAGGCCCTCCAGAAAGCCCCAAGAAGGGCCAAGAGGCCCCTAAGAGGCCCCCAAGATAGAACAAGAGGGCTTCGAGATACCACAAAATCGCTCCAATACGCCCAACATTGCCCCCAGACGCCCCAAAAGGCTTCCAAAAACAATCCCAAGAAGGCCCCAAGATGTACAATTAATGGATTTGCCTTGGGTTTTGTACAGATTTGAGAGTTTCCCCCTTTTCGGCTTCCCGACGGCTCAAGACGGCCCAAGAGGTCGCCAAGATCGCCCCAAGAGGGTCCAAGAGGGCTCCAAGAGAGCCTCAAGACAGCCCAAGAGGGCTCCAGGACCGCCCAAGACGACTCCAAGACGGCCCAAGAAGGCCCCAAGAAGGCCCCAAGAACGCCCCAAGAGCGGCCCCAGAGGGGGAACACGAAACAACATGTCGAGCCCTCGGCCATAAGCAGCCCCCAGGAGTTCCCCAGAGGTCCCTGCGAGGCCCCAAGAGGCCCCCAACAGGCGGTCAGGAGGCCGCCAAGAGGCCCCCAAGAGCCCCAAAAAGGCTCCAGGTCAAGACATCCCCGAAAGCCTCGGAGAATTCCCAAGAGCTTCCTGTGCACTGCCTCCTGGTCCGCGAAAATGGGCCGGCGGAGTGAGCGAAGCGATTCAATGATTCTCGAGTGTCCCTCCTGCAGAGGGACATGCCCGAGTGAAATCTGCAGGCCACCGCCGTGCCTGGCCAGGGCGGGGCCCTCCGAGGCCCTGGTGCGGCATGGCTACATGAAGCCTCCGGGCCAGATGGCGCCGGGGCCCAGGAGGGCTCTGACCAGGCACGGTGGCGGTGCACAGGTGCCTCCTGCGGAAGGAGGGCCGAGGAACGAGGGTAGAGGGTCGAGGATCGAGGGTCGAGGATCCAGGATCGAGGATCTCGGGGGTCGAGGGGCCTTTCCGGGAGCCTCCGCCTCAGGGAGGTTTCTCGTCACACGGCCAGGTTCCACCTGAAACTCGGCCGCTGTGCACACCCAGCTGGGGCAGGAGCGGGCCAAAAGCCGTCGACGGGCGTGGTCTGGGCAACCTGTGCGGCCCAGGGCCGTTCTCACGGGGCCCTGGGGCCATCGAAACACAGAGTCCGCGGCGAATGACCGCTGGGGATTGGGTATCGGGAGCTCAGGGCCCAAATGGCCCCACGTCGTGGACCCCCGGAGGTCTGGGCCTCCATCGCCTCTCCCACCCCGTCAAGCGCAGAAGCCCGCTCTCCGGAACGAGATGTGGCGGCGCAAGCGAGGCGCGACTGCCACCACGCAGGGCGCAAGCGGGGCGCTTGCGCGAGCAGGGCAATCACTGCCGCCAAGCAGATGCCGCACGCAAGAGCCCGACGACAGGGGCGAGCCTCCAGGCGCGCCCCTTCCCCCTCCATCCGCCCCCCCCACTCATTCTCCTTCTTGCCCCCACTCATGATCAGCCCCCGATGTTGCACGCTGCCAGGCTCCCCTCTGTTGGGAGGGGGACTCCACCGTGTCTCCGAGCA